TAACGGTAACAATCGACAGGCTTTGAAGTCAGGCGTCTCTCCATTGAAATCTTCAAGTGCAGGTATCAGCCTGGCGATTGGTCCGGTTGTTTTTTTTACCTGAGACCAATCAAACAGCTATCTTCGTGTCTTCAATTTTGCTATGACATATTCTAGGGGCGCAGAGAGCGAAATTGAGCGTTTCTCTACGATACACTCCAATACATTTAAGTATTGGAGTAGCGGAATTACAAGTCTAATTTTACTTAGACCAGAACAAGCTTAAGGTACAAATACTTCTCTCAAATAATTAATTTCAACTTATGATTCTACATTTTATATAACTTAAAATTGAATGTTTGGTTTGGTTTAGTATTGTTTAACGTCCTATCAACAGCCATGATCATTCAATTGTATTTTTTCACATGCTGTTTGTCAGTGTGTGTTGAGCCACGGAAACAGGCCTCAGCCATTATCAATGCAGTGGTGACCACAAATGTGTAGAAGGTCGAGGAGAGACAGTAGACAGACTTGAAACGGAGGCAACGTAAAGAAATACCATTCACTGATTTCTCAGTCTAGGCAATAAGGTGTTGGTATACAATGCTAAGAATGTATCAACCATAAAATTAAGAGAACTTGCAGCAAAGATATATGAATACCCTGCTATGTACAATCTGTATTCCTTCGAAGGAAAGGCTGCCACTTTAGAAAACGGGCCAGGTCATGTGTTGAAGAAAAAGGCAAATATTGAACGTTTAAAATTAGTCAAGGCCAGCAAAACAAATACGACTAATTATAAGTCAAGCCCTGTGTAACGTGTTGGCAATGCTTTGGATGAGGCCCAGGCGACAACAAAATAGCCACACATCGCCACAGCTTTTCTGGTTGAAACTTTCATTGCAGAGAAAGTTTCCATGTATCGAAGTGACATCAGTGCCGATAAAAACCGGATTTCTCTTGTCAGCAACCTGCAACTGACCAAGACAGCACTGTATGATATGGGATATCACGTCCAGGGCCCGTATTCATGAAACCGTTCTCATGCTCAAGCATGGATTTTGTGTTTATGCCAACATTCTTGTAACACACTTAAAAATCATGTCAAACGATCAAAACGTTTAAGTCTCTTCAAAGTTTTTCCAGTTCTTTTTAAAAGAATAACAAAAAATAGTATCAAGTTATAACCAGAACAAGAAAGTAGGCTTGAGCACAAATTCCATGCTTGAGCATGGGAACGATTTCATGAATACGGGCCCAAGTCTTCCATTCCAGGGTTTCATAAGAAAAGTCCATAACCTAGGGGGAACAATGAGAATACCAAGAAATGGAGTGTTTCGGGACACAGTTGACATAAGACATTTGAACACAAACAAAACAACTATTGCTATGTCAGCCGTGTGCGTCAAGGCAGCACAACCGGTTTAACCTGTATTGGCGTTAGCAGAGACGGTAAAGAAGAAGCCATGGCATTTGCAAGACGTTGCCAAGGAGCAGTCGTCACTAGGTGAAACAGACAGACTTACGGTTGGTGGGGAGACCCTGGAGTTCGTTGATTTATGCACACTGGATGACAGAAAATGGTTTAATGATAAGGTACAAATAATTACCAATATGTACGAAAGCCATTGGCAAGCAGAGATATTTAAAGTGGCTAAGATGTCCCTTTTTCCTTCTGCCTACCAATGGACTAAATGTTAGATAAAGATGCAGAAATCGTTACGGGCAGTTATTGAATTATAATGTCATTCTTTAAAGATCGGGTTGGATTAGTATTGTTTTACGTCCTATTAACAGCTATGGTCATTTAAGGACGGCCTCTCCTGTGTGCAAGATACATGTATGCGTGTGTCTTTTGGGAGGCTGCGATATGCTAGTGTTTCTATCCTTGTGATAGCGCGGAACTGATGCCGACTTTATAGTGCTACCTCACTGAAACATACTGCCAAAGACACCCAGCAGGACACCCCACCCGGTCACAGTATACTGACAAAGGGCGAACCAGTCGTGCTGAGCGTTAAGCAGGAGTAGAAACTACGATTTTTACAGTCTCTGGTATGTCTCGGCCAGGGTACAGAACCCAAAGCCTTCCTCATAGGGGCGAACGCTCAACTAAGGGCCAAAAGTTAGGCATTGTCAAGGGAGACATTAGGAAGAAGAAAGCTGTTTAGAAAGAAGAGAAAAGATAAGATCCCAAATTTAGTCGCCTTTTACGACCATGCAATGGGGGCAGCAAGTAAAATTCTTACGCCCTACCTGCAGGGACCATTCCTTAAAGACGGAATACTACTACAGTACAGTAGTGCAAAACACTCTAAGGCAACAGGTTTTATAAACATCGTTTTTATTACATTCAATTGTTCATCTCCGTACAAGTTACAAGCAGTTATACTAACAACACCATCAATTGACTCCCCTACCGACAACTTTACAAAACGATGCCTTGATTTTAGTCCGCCGTACTCGTATTCCTTACTATAACGTTACTATTCGTCCGACTAACAAACATTGGTTTGACTCAGCATTACGTTAGCATTGTCGTACTCGAAATAGAATCAGAAAGAACTATCAAAAACTAGGACTGAAATCAACCATATGATACAAACAACCCTTTTTTCTGGAAAATACTTAAAAGGTTTATGACTTGTCCGCCAAAGTTACTTTCCCCTCTTGCAATATTTGATGTAGAAATAACTGAAGTACTTAATGACCACCTTTATATCATATCTATAGTAACGATAATTCTAATGCAAATTTACCCGACTTCTTGATGAAATGCGCCAATTCTCTAAACGATATCGTTATAAGTGAGAATGACATATTTTATATAACGTCAGTCCTTGATGTTGGAAAAGCAGTCGGACCAGACAAATTCAGCCACCGCATGCTTAAAGCTACGGCAACAAGAACTCTTTCTTTTCCTCACGCAATCCTATTTTTTCGTTCAACACGCGAGTATTCCTTTCACCTGGAATGGAACAAAAAAAACCCCACACATTTTACCTTTATTTAAGAAGGGTGATCGTAACTTTCCGGTGAACCGCCGACCTACTTAACTCTTAAGCTTAACTTTCTAAGGTAACGGAAAGACGTATGGTCAAATTTATATTCAATTTTGCAGGAGACAATGATATTTTTACATTTATATCCATCTGTTAACAGCTAATTAAGATTCATGTGTTGTGTTTTGTGACCTTTCCAATGCATTTGATTAAGTCTACAATAAAGGAATGTTGTTCAAACTTCGCCTACACATGGTTTTATGGTAATTTACTTTAGGAGGCACGGTAGTCCAGTTGTAGGACGCCGGGCTCGTGACCGAATGGTTGTGGGTTCGAGTCTCCGCACGGCACTGTGTTGTATCTTTGAGCAAGATACTTTACTCCGCTTGTTCCTTGTCTTCTCAGCTGTAAATGAGTACGTGGTTGGGCAGTGCTAGAATTGTTGAATGCTACATGTAGCTGTGAGCGCCGAAATGGCAGCACCGGCTGTATGCTCCCCAGGGAGTTGAAAAGATGTTGGCTGGTTGCAAAGGCCCTATAACCACGGATAATAATTTGTGAACCGCTTTGAGACGACCTACGATTTATGTTGTGATAAAGCGGTATATAAGAACCTCGAATTATTATTAAAGTTATCTGACTAATCGTCAGCAGTCGGTTCTGTATGGCGCCTCGTAAATATGTTACTACAGGCGTATCGCAGGGATCTAATTTTGGTCTTCTATTATTTTTATTTTACATTGGGCCGTTTTCGTTTAAACGGTCAAACCGATCGGACCACTGTTGTTCGTTTATTAAATAAAGTCGGACTTAGTAATCTGATGCAGCTTTCCGGCGAGCCTTGAGAAAGCCTTTCAAGGCCTGCATACACATTTGCAGGTCCGCCAGGATTTATACCCGAAATTGTTACATTTATAAACGGTCAAACCGGTTGTTCCACATAAACGAACAGGCCCCTGTTGTCGCTCCGATGGAAAACTTTCATCAGACTCGTTGCTGATGATTCGTCTTCTCAATAGTCTGATGTGGACTGGAATGTAACAACAACAACAACAAAACTCAATCATGATATTGATATTCAACGTATGCAGGATTTGTCTGATCAATGCAGGCTTATGAAGTTTAATCCCGCAAAGACGAAAGTATAGTCCTTTCCTCTTCTGGACAACTTGACATCAAACCAACCTAACCTGTAACAATAACCTCTTTCTTTCGCTGATTCTCAGTGTCGCTTTGAAGTATTTCTCATTAGCAACTGCAAATGGCATTATACAGTTCACCAAATTGTCAAATCAACCTAATCTAAAGTAACGACCTGAAATCAATTGTAATTTCAGTATGGAATAAAACATGGATTTTATATATACGTTCTTCATTAGACCAGAGACGTATAATATACGTATCTGATTAGACTAACTCTTGAACATGCATCCTATGTTTTGGATGGTTATTCTGACAAACTGTTAAATGCCTCGGAAATGGTGCAGCTAGAATCCGGCCAATGGTATGTCTGGTCTTCCCACTGTAGCCTTTTTCGAGTCTCGTTACCTCGAAACTGTACGGGAACCCTTCCAATCTAGGAGAGAAAAGTATAAACTTCCAATCTGTAGATTAAATCATTGATAGCGTATGCCGGGAATAGACTAATTCTGTAAAATGATAATTCCATCTACACACACATTTAACATGAAGGTGATACCTGATTCTTAACTCTCAAGATTCAAGGTAGCCACCCGTCGACAAACTTGGTAGTACTGATCAGTCCCAAAATTTGAGCTGCATTACTAGGGACATTGCAATGTGGAGCCTTCGTGTGAAATTTTAGAACAAATCCCTGTAGCCTGTAGGAAACTCAAAGTACATTCTGGAAAATACAGTAGCGCCAAAAAGAATTGTTTCAGGACGGACGGACGACGGATCAAGGACGACTTGAATAGCCAATTATTTAATAACGATGATGCATGGGTTAAACAAATGCCACACCACCCAAAGTTGGATGATAGATTCCGGAAATATAAACCGGAGTATGGGTCGAAATTTCCAAAGCAGTATTTACTTCCGGGTAGCTTCAACGTGAAGATTAAGGAGACTGACGTTATAGGTACGTATGATTCTTGTTTATTAATGAATGTAAACTATGAAAATTGGAAAGCACATAACAGTTTGGATGTTTACCGAATCATTTGTACGTGTTATTGCTGCAAAATGTCTTGACAGTCCAATTTAAACAGACACCGTTAAAACTACACATGCGTTTGCCATCACAATTGCATTGACGTACAATAAATGTATCTCCACCCCAATATCGATCTCCACCAGGGAGCTAGGAACGTTAACTAATTATAACATACTAAATGGACGTTAGTTTTGAAGCATGTGTTTAAGTGAACTAAGCATAGCGTTGTCATACTGATCAGCTTTTACTAGGACCTTAATCTAGACTGTATAAGTTGATATATTATTGATTATTAAAATTCACTGTTGACTAACTGCATTTCGATCATTTGAAAATGAAATAAACTGAGTTACATACAGATGATGGTTAACCTTCACTGGGGTAGTTCAAAATAACTGACTATCTCCTCTTCAAAAAGCAAAACAAAAAAGGTTTGGTGCACAGTTCCCTCAATGTTTCCTTATATAACCAGAGCAAATCTACATACTGGTACTTACATGTACACAAGGGAATAATATATAATTTATCTCTGCCTAAGAGCTGATTAAAAATGGCTTTATGTCGACAAAAACCATTTCAAACCTTTACATTATATTTATTTAAACCAATCAAAATTTACCAAAAAGAAGTAAATTAAATAACTGATTCAAATATGATTACCAATAAATTACAACTGCATGAAAAAAGATAATGAATTCCCCGAAACAGGTTCCTAATACTATTAAGTTTTCTTAACATTGCGGATATCATACATTTGTATTTCCTGGCATTACACACATGTATATGAATTCACTATATTTTCTCCATTTCTATACAGGTCACCTTGGTCTTTCATCTTGATAATAAGAAACAGAAATTTCATTCAAAAAATGGAAGAGGTTTGTATGGAGGACCCTGATTCCATTTCAGAAGTAGAAATTACAGACCTGAAAGGGTATACTAATCAGAGTAAAGAAAACATGTTGACAAGACTGTCTCAGACCGATGCTCATTTTAAACACCAACAGCGAGGCGAAGCTGACCTGACATGCGATGAAAAGAGAGAAATTGCAAGAAATATTTTGGAAAAAAGTTCTTCAATATTCTTAGCACGGTTTGGTGCCTACCTTTCATCTGATGACCTTGAACATTTCGTAGACAAATCTGGTGATTATGAAATACAGTTCTATCTGCAACAACTAAAGAAAGAGAAAAGTAAAGATTACTCTGCAAACAGGGTTAAGAATCGTCGCTATCAAGCCATGAAGCAGCTGATTCAGGAGGGAGAATATTTCAGTGACGATTCCATTAAACATCGGGATCCCTACCTGTATGAACAGCTGATTGGTCAATACTTAACACAGGAGGAAATCCAAGGTCTGGTGGACAAGGCAGACCTCAGATTCTCAACCATCCTGCTCAAACACATGGACCAACTGGAGGAAAATCAGGTGTTTAAGTTTCAAAAAGACAAAGAGGTGAAGCTTGTGAAATTAAATTGTGTGTTTCAAATTCCAACTTCACCTTCTAAAAAAAGGGTTATTATTATGTCTACTTTTATGGCAATTATACCATCACAGCTCTCGTCTCTAAAAAAAATAGTTTGTGTAATTAAGTAAACATTTTAGATGTTAACTATACTTGGGCAAGATAAGCCGCAAAAACAATGTAAGACACTAAAAGTCAGGAGAGTCGGGGAAAGCAGAAAGACTTGTTTTGGTCCTAGACAAGGAAAATTTATTTGATAAAGAACATTATGACAAGATTTATATAGAACATTTTATATCGAACAGTTCTCATGTCTAAAATTTTCTTGCAAATTAAACATGACTGGGCCGACAAAAAAAAATGGTTGTTAAAAGATACCCAAAGGTTTTGAAAAGACTTTGCCCTAATGGGAGTGAATGCCAGTTGTCCATATTTTTCAATGAATATATATATATAATCATAGAGTACATAGTTTATAGGGGTCCTGCTCCAAGGATTACATATATTGAAATTGAAAACATCCAATAATTTTTAAATTTTGACAGATATCAAATCAGCTACAAATAATATGTTCATAAATCAAGATTTTTTTCAGAAAATAATTTGTTTTCCTTAACAGGACTGTCAGTTTGAAGAAGAAGATGAGGATAGTGAAGAAGAAGAAGGTATAACAGAACTATAGAAAAGTGAAGTCAAGTGATTGGTTTATTTGTATTTCATATTTCGGAAGATGTTTTCAAGTAAAAAAAACCCAGAAAAACCAAAAATCATAATTAGTAAGTGGGTAGATTTATTTATAATCTGACATTTTGCAATGTAAATGTCAACATAAGTGAATAAAAACTTGTCCAACATTTAAAAGATGAACTCTAGGGAAGCTCTCTGCTTACATTTAAAATTTGTTTCACATTCATTTTGAGTTGTTTTTGTAACGATCAAGATCAAAATGTTTACGTACAAAAATGTTACATTTCTGTTTTCTGTAGAGGTCTTTCATGCCTTTCTTCTGGTGTATGCTCAGCTCCAATTGTCGTCTTTTCATTTTTCTTATTCTGATTTTGTCCTCATGTGATAAAATAATGCTTTTGTATTTTTTTTGTTTTCAGGTATGATTAAGATAGGTTTCTTGACATGATTTACTGGTTTTTAACTTTGAGTAAAAGCTGTAAGATTCCTGAATATTACTTTAAGAATCTCAAATATCTCAACACATGACATATATCATTGATAGAAATGGAGAAAGATGAAGAAGAAATTTCAGATGAGAGGAAATCAGAAATGAGAGAGGAGCTTTACAGAATTATGCAGGAGAGATTTCTCTCTGGAAAAGAACAACAATTTGACTACAGGTACTAACATATTAAAAATTTTGATCACCAACCCAAGTCATCATTAAGATTAAAAGCAATGTTTCATCTGAACAGAATCATTGCAGGCTCAAATGAAAACAAGCCTTCAAGAAGAAAATCTCATCTCTTATTAACAGCAAATTCTTCACTAATTCTTATGGAAGGGTTATGTCCCTTTGCCAGACAGTACTGATAGCTTGCTTTTGATCACTATAAATTATTATGACTTACCAGTACAAGCAAATTTATATAATCAGATGTTTTAAAAACACATTTTCCTGTAAATTTTCTGTTATGTTTTTAGCACTGGCTTGTATTCCGTCTTTGCGTATTGCAGAGTTATCTCACTTATCTGCTCTTGTGAGCAGGTATTGATTGTTACGTCATTTGTTTGTGAGAGTAACGTCATCTAAGAAAACGACGTAGTTTTCTCACACAAACCAATGATGTAACAATCAATACCTGCTCACAAGAGCAGATAACTCTGCTATACGCAAAGATGGAATAGACCTGATCTGTCAGTAATGAATTTGTACATGTAATATATTAAAAGCTGCAAATAACTTACGGACGTTATCTTATGCTCTGGTATGTATCTCTATTCCAAAAGATTGTATGTTGAAATATCAGAGGTTGGATTAGACAGGTTTGAGAGTAAATCATAATACAAAGGGGCTGTATTAACTCATTCACCCCTGAAATTTCATAATGAACTATATTCCAACCTTTCATTTGGAAGAGTTCAAATGTGTCTTCAGGGGTGAATGAGTTAAACACGATTATTAGCCAACACCTACTGTAATAACACGTGTAGGGGTTTCTTTCTTTGTAGTCAAGTGGATGACAATACAGCTTACGATGACCTCGATCTTTTGGACAAGGATGAAGAAGAGAAATATTTTGATTCGGAAGAACCAGTGGAAATGTCTGTTCCTAAACTCACAGATCTTGCCAACTCAATGTTAATAAACAATGACACCGCCCAAATAAACGGCAGTGAAAAACCAGATGTTGGTGGACAAGACACCAGCATTACAAATACATGTGGTTCAGGAACAGAACCAATGAAAACAGACATTCAGGATAATTCCTCAGAGGGAAATGTAACTTAAATGTGAATAAGGGTTCATAATACATGTTTATTTTTTATATATACTGAATTTGTGTACTCTTTTATTTACTTTATATCAAATAATGAGATTTGGTATCAGAAACTAAATCAGCCATTGAGGCTGTTTTTAATTTTAACTGAAAAAGGAAATTATTTTAAATTTGTTCTAAACATTTAATCAGCCAATCAAAATATTAGATCAACGAAAATGGAAGCTTTGCAGTTAATCAACCTATCAAATTTTGTTGTGTTTACTAAACAAGTCAATCAGATTGTGCTTTAATTACCTAAATCAGTTAAAAGTAATTTTAATTATTGAAACAGCTGATGAGGTTGTTTGTGCATTACCATTGTTTCATGAATTAAATCAGTTAATTATTTTTCGACTGCTGTGTTAAAATAAATCAGCTAATCAAATTGTGTGTTAATTACTAATTCATTTGATCAGATTGCATTCAACTCAAATGGTTAATACAGTTTTGTTTCATGACAATATTAGCCAATCAGATTACGTTTCCTGAACATATCAGCCAATCAGATTGCGTTTGAGTAAATAAACCTACTATTTAGATTTTTACATGACTTAAACATATTTCATTCACAAAAAACCCGAGATTGTTATGATATCCCTCTCCCAAAGAGGAGATATCTTTCCAATACCAGTACATATATTTAAACCTTTCACAATCGTGTGTCTAAAACACCATAACATATCTTTGCACACATTTACAATGTAGGATTTGATGTTAAAAAAAGACAATGAAGAGAACAAGTGTTAGATAATTATTTCTAATACTTGTATTTAAGAAAGTTCAGTATCAAGACTAAATGTCGGCGTTGAACATGCATTTCTTTGTAAAACAATACATATTGAAGCATCCCATTTCAAAATGGGTTAGGTGAAAAAGTTCATTGAGATAAAATTTACAGTAAACAAAAACTGATAGGATGTTTAAGCATTGGTATTTATTTTGTAAGTAATATAATTAAAATGAGTTTGGGATATCCGGATTTTCCAATGGGCAATGTACCGAACTGACACGTTTCGCGTTGTCAATACATCTATTTGTGTTCATTGGTTCAAGAGTCTTTGGACATCTACAAACCTTGACCGTAAACACTCTGCTCTAATGTTCATAGACCAACTTCACAACTAGTATATGATGCGAACAAAGAGCAAAATGAAGCCAGAAAGAACCATTACTTACAAGACACAAACCAACAGAAGACAAACCTAAGGCAAACTTGGGCTCCTACGCATGAAACCGTTCTTATGATCGAGCATGGATTCTGTGCTCCAACCAGCTTTCTTGTAATCGGGTCAAAACGACCAAACAGTCAAATATTAACATTAAAAACAGTTTTCAGCTTTAAGTCTCCTCAATAATTTTCCAAATCATTGACATTTTTTATTTTACTTCATAATGGGAAAACGAAATTCGGCTTGAGCACAAAGTCCATGCTTGAGCATGAGAAAAGTTTCATGAATACGGGCCCAGATGATTGGAATTCAAATCTGAGTAAAGACTTTGTCGTTAGGTTAAAACAATGGTAGTTAACGACTTACTGTGTTTGTGACTTTACATATTTAAAGATTGAATAATTTCCTGTTGAATTTTCTTACACTTTGAGGCGACAAGAAAGATGCTCCGATGGTCTTTGGCAAAAAATAATCTACTTGGTTGTAAAAAGAACACCAAGACTTTTTAATATAATAAGGTATTTGTGAATGTATTTGATACATTTCAAAGTGAACTGAGATATATTCACTGTTTCTCTCCTTCGTGATACGTTGAATCTTGCTAGAGAAACTGATCGTAGTCAAAGACTTCCAATTACCCATTCTTGTCATCAAAAACAAAGGATTTAATCGTTATTTGTAGCCTTATTTCTAGTGATTATTTAACGTAACAAGGTGGTTGCCTCTTCTGGTGGATTACATGTATCAGTCATCTAGGTTGGCCATACTTTGGTGTTGGATTATCAGTCCCCGAGGTTGACCGTACTTTGCTGGTGGACTATCCGTACCCGAGGCTGGCCGTACTTTGCCGGTGGACTATCAGTCCCCGAGGTTGGCCGTACTTTGCTGGAGGACTATCAGTCCCCAAGGTTGGCCGTACTTTACTGGTGGACTATCAGTCACCAAGGTTAGCCGTACTTTGCTGGTGGACTATCAGTCCGCAATGTTGGCCGTGCTTTGCTGGTGGACTATCAGTCCTCGAGGTTGGCCGTACTTTGCTGGTGGTGGACTATCAGTCCGCAATGTTGGCCGTACTTTGCTGGTGGACTATCAGTCCTCGAGGTTGGCCGTACTTTGCTGGTGGACTATCAGTCCTCGAGATTGGTCGTACTTTGCTGGTGGACTATCAGTCCAAGAGGTTGGCCGTATTTTGCTGGTGGACTATTAGTCCCCGAGGATGGCTGTACTTTGCTGGTGGACTATCAGTCCACGACGATGGCCGTAGCCTGGTAGCTTGTTTTTATTCAGGAACGAATTATATGGAAAACATTAAAGTTTGAGTATAGATTACCGTTGTAGTCTAAAGTGGTAATTATAACGTTATAAAGGGTTTTGTAGGCACATTATCCTTTTTGCTGTGTTCTGCATATGATTGATAACATTTTAGACTTCGATTTTGCATTCCTTTGCCCTGAGTTACATGCACCAATAACAGTACTAAACGGTCTAAATGACCATGGAACAGTAGAATATCAAGTTTGTTTGATTTCATCTGTGCATCTTAAACAATATTGTAAATGGATGTTATTTTTCTTCGTAATTTTCGTAAATATTTTTCGGGTGTGTTACCCCCAAATGCTTTATCCAAACCTGGAGTGCTGGGAATTTAAGAGTGCCTTCTAAGGATATCGAAGGGACCCAAGTTTATCTGTTGTCCTAGTTTGCTCTGATAAAGTAAACGTGACCGACTGAGATGTTATATTACAATGCCCTATTTGGATCACTTTAGTGAGATGAGTTTTGGGTTGAGAGTGACGTCATTATAGAAGAACAAAGTCTAGCAACCACTATACGAAATTGATTAAACTATATGGGCCAATACGAGCTTTAAGCTCATTTCCCGGCCATCCGGATCAAGGTAAATCATATATCTGAATTACTCCTGCATCAGGCTTCTGTAGACCACAGAAACTTGCTTTGTCTGTCAAACGAAGTTCACGGACAGCGTTATGACCTGTGCATAGATAGGACTTCATCTTCTATTGATAACAAAAACCTACAACAAGATGGCGGCTACTTCACAACAACCGACGATAGTCCCTGGATTCACCGGGAAAGCTTACCCGGATGTGTTTAACGTGAATGCCATGCGTATTCAACCACAGGAATTGAAGCAAGGACAGCTTCCAGAAAGCATGATTCGGCAGTTCTTTGAAGACGTAAGAACAGATATTGAATGAAAACACACAACTTATGATAACAGATAAACAACAATAACATCCACATGTGGCAGGGTTCAGTTGTACATAGGATTAAGGTCGCCTTCTAGCTTCGAGCTAGAGGGAATTTCCCTTTAGCTCAGTCCGAGTAGGAACCTGGAGATCGAGGGTTTGATCCCAGATGGAAGCACACTATTCTCTTTTCTGTTACACATATATTAAAACTGTATGAATACACACAGCAGAGGCTGCTAATTAACGATTCCAATGCACGTTGGCTTAGGGGGTCAAACATTTTAAGAGGTCAGAGCAACTTATCAAAAGAAGAAAAAAACTGACGCATTTGACGGCGTAACGCCAACTGGTGCAAAGGGTTGTACTAATTCTTGAACCTTTTCAATTGTTGATGACTATACTAACTACATGTATATATCAGAGACCTTGATTTCCGTATCAAAAATGTCCAAATGACGACACCTCATATTCTAAATAATCGAATGGTATGGAATAAGCAAACTAGGAATCATGATTTAGCTATCTTTGAGCATAATTCAAGGCAATGGAATTGTTGACCCAAATATATCAGACGTTAATTTAGTACAACGAATGCAGATTATTTTATATTAGTTTTGTTGAAATATTCGTAAAATAAGATCAAAGTAATGTATTTATCAATCCACAGGGGTACGTCATAGTGAAAGACTTCTTTACTCGTGCAGAACTGGACACGTGCAGGAACGCCGTCAACCAACAGGTAGAAAATCTGGCACAGAAACTCTACGGAGCCGGAAAAATCAAAAGTAAGATTAACATTCAATCAAGACGTTTAGATATATAATGTGTGTCCACTTTTTAATGCCACAAATGTGTATGATTTTTCATATGAGTAAGATAAAAGAGAACGAGCTCCAGATTAGTGGTATTAAATGATTAACATCTATGTACAATTATACATTTTGACGTCAGTATTAAAACAAAAAAACATAAAGCCAAACGCCGCCATTTTCGCATTTCACAGAATCTTAATATCGTCATGATATAATAACATTGCCCTAAAAATAGATAATTGCACATGTGTTACATGTAAAAGGAATTATTTGATGCCTTTTTTACACTTAATGCCAAAAAAGGTTATTAGAATCAAATATAGGCGTCAGGACAACAGAAATATTCATCATGTTCATGTAAAAATCCGTACACCGCTTCTTCTCCAAACAGATTTGTATAGCGAATATGGATTCTTTGACCGTTTGACAAAGTTAGAGGAGGAATTCCCGGGGACGAATATCATCCTCCACAAGGGCGACGGGCTACCAGAGGTTCGTTGATAGGTATCGCTCTGTTGATCCTCTGTCTCAGTTCATGTGTACACGTATAAGTGCTACTTTTCTGTGAAATTAATTTCCTTAACTAAAGAGTTCTACACTGTAAACCTGTACTTTTTCTTTTGTAAATGGTAAGTGGCATTATGTTTGTTAGTTAGTTATAGACATATTTGCGAAAGTATGAAAACAAATCCGCGTGTTATATATAAACTTTATTTGTGTTTCAACATTATGAAACACGTTATTTCAACTTATATTAGTCACTCTTGTTGGCCCGAATGTTAGCGCGCGGGGGGTCTTAGTGTGGGAGGAAACCGGAGTACCCGGAGAAAACCCATGTAATAATAATAATATAATAATAATATACAACATTTATATAGCGCCCTATATAATTTGTAAAATTACTATAAAGCGCTTTACAACATATGGTTAATAGGAATGGTTGATATTGTAAAAAAAAGGCTTACAATCACTTGTATACATTTAAGCAAGCAATGTGCACATAATTGAACAAATACAAGGGTGGTATTTACGTCTTTGCAAGGATTCTAAAATGCAGACGTGAAGAGGTGAGTTTTGATGTCCCTCTTGAATTTGGCCAGGGTTGATGTCGGACAGGTGCCCCCATACCTTTTCACGTCCTCGTGCCATGTATTTTCTTTTCGTAATTTTGCTATGGTTCACATACTAATGTGATGAAAACGGACCAGGAAGATTTTCTATGGAAAATGGAAAACAATTCTCGAACGTCTGCATTCCTTCGTGAAAAAAACCTCATACACAACTTTTTACCTCTGTAAACGGACTTTTCATAGGATTTTTTTTAAAAAAGAAACAAATATTGAATTTGGTGAATTTGATATTCGTTAGAGAAATAAAATACGCAAACAATGCATAAACTATGAAATTCGTATTGTGACATACATGTATCCAGCTTTTATGATCTTACAGAATAGCAAATGCATTTGTTTGTCTCGTATGTCGTTTTACATTGATGAGACATCTTTATCGACATCTAAGGCTTTCAGAAACCTGTGGACAAATGAACGTCTGTTAAATGTGGTGGAGCAGCTTATTGGTCCGGACATAGCGGGACATCCGGTCTGGAACTTGCGCACGAAAACTCCTCAGAACGAGGCTACCACTGTACCCTGGCATCAAGGTATGTCTTTGATTGTTGATATTCCTGATGTTTTCGCTGGATACGATGGGGGAAACATGACAGGAATCTCGTTAGAATCGGAAAACGCTTACCCTTTCTGAACACCTGGTTTGTATGTGGATTCTGATGTCTTTCCAAACGCTTTGGTATATCCTTACCCTCTGTTATCCTTTGTATTAAAGTCATATTTTGACCTTGTGGATTAAAAGGATATGGTATATTTATCTATCCGATTTTAATCGTCATTTTCTAATGCATTAAGCTTAAGACGCACGGATGCATATTTTGTCATAATGTCCTTTCGTTAGAAACGTTATTGAACAAATCACTTAGCTTGCCCCCATGATATACATAGTATTATGTTCTCTAGTAGTTATACAGAGTCGTCTTTCTGTCGCCATTACTGCGTAGATTCTGCCTACCTTGATACTGAGTCGTACCATGTGCTCCAGCCGACTGCCTGGATCCCACTTCTGGATGCTCACGAACAAAATGGATGTATGCAGGTAATAAAAACGGCATATTGTTCACGACCTCTTCATTCTTGTTCTTGTGTCTTTTTTGTTCTTTCCTTCTTTTATATGTCCTCTTGGTTGCTCTTGCTGTCATCATGGTCTTTATTTTTTTAATAAATAGATAACTTATCTTTTGTATGATGTTTTTAATTGCGCTGGAATTAAGAATGAATCGAAATTTCCAGACCAAACGAACAACGTTTTTTTACATAAAGTATATGTAGTATAATGTCCTTGCGAATAGGTGCGGCGATTTAAAGTATTGAAAAATACATCAATAGCGCGGACCAAATTGCAACCATACAATTATACAGTACTAGTATTGACAGTTAGAATTAAATTTGAGTCAAAAAGATATATAATGTATATAATATAGTTGAATTGATGAGCTGACTGGCACATGATTAACAATTTACTATCACCATACGAGAAGAATTGTATAATTAAATGTTATATTCTATGTTTAAAAGGTTATCCATAAAGGTCACAAGAAAGGAATTGTGGGTAATCATCAGTGTTGTCATGGTGGCACGTGGTATGTCATGCTCGACGAAGAAGAAATGCAGAGAACGCTTGGTAAAAATCTCGCGTTATTTGTACCTCTATATGTGCTGTTATTTGCTAATTATTGTAACGACGTTTAAGGACAATTCATCTCTTATATCAAAATCATGATTCTGAAGATTTGTTTTGCCCAATGATCAATAAAGAGTGATAAATGTTGTGGAGCGTGTACACTTTATTGTATAAACTTTCTCGGCTATTGCGCAGACGCAGACATTCCAAGCGACATACGAACCTGCCCTGTTCCATACGGTGGTATGCTGCTGCTGAATAACGTTATTCCACACAGAAGGTGAGACATTCGTCGGTGTGTTAATGATAGCATCGTGACGTCACAATTTCCGAGTTATATTATGACGTCACATTTGAGTACATATATAAAAATATATATGGGGCAAAGAAGTAATTCCAACAGTGTGGACAAGTTGAGACTGTCAAATTTTCGGAGCGATCCGCTCCTTTTTCAAGAGAAAAAAGGAGCGGATCGCTCCGAAAATTTGACAACCTAAACATGTCCACACTGTTGGAACTACTTCTTTGCCCCATATTAAATTTTAAGTAACTCGTATCCTACGGACATACCACCATTAGGATCCAGTGTTATAAGGGGTCTTACCGTCTATATTACTTCTTTGACCCATAAACAAATATATAGACAGAGCGAGAGCAAAGTTCGCGGAATTTAGACTTTCTTGAATAATCTTTTTTTCCAAAAGTAACAATGATTTTCGAGTAAAAGGTTATATCAAAGATTTTAAAATGATTTCCGTTTCAAGTGAAATTATAAACATCGTGACATCTTTTGTGGCCACATATACACTGTATCAGCAAAACATATTCCTTTATGCTTTAGTTTGTTTTGAACACGCACAGTCATTGACGCCACACAAAGTATTTGCTTGTTTTCGAAGGCGTGTGTTTCCTTTGTCAAACATAGATTTACTTTGATTGACAACGGAAACAGACGTTTATAAAAGCTCCAAAATAAGTTTTCAATTACTGTTTGAGTTAAAAACAAACTTACATTTAGGAACATATTTTGGCTGTTTAGGAGGTATCATCTTAATTTGAAATCATCAGAAAACTATTTAGATAAGTAATAAAGTATGCTTTATTTTTTTTTATAGCTTACCAAACATGACAAATCAAATTCGCTGGAGTTTGGATCTACGTTTTCAGAACCCAACGCTTCCTTATGGTTTTTACGGGATGAAAAAGGGGGTTATCTTTAGAAAATCGAACGACCCTGATTACCAGATCCCTTGGCAGGACTTCCTGAACGTTGACAGACGTGCTAAACAGCGTCAGGCTGTAAAGGACCTAATGGAAAATGTACGTTAACAAGTGTATGCTTAAGGAAGTTCTTATCTCCCTTGAGTTATGTTCCCTGTCATCGCCCTTATAATACTAACTGTTATGAAATAATATGAGTTATCTCCCTTCTGCGGCTATTATTTCCCTTGAAATTACCGTCTTTTGTAATTAACATGAATAGCGTTGTTTCGATATTTAATAATCTCCCCAAAGGCTTGGTTTTAGTTAAGGTATTTTTCGTTTATCTTTGTGTTTCATACTTTTTTATATTTATTGTTTAAAGAGTATAATATTACAAGATTTAAAATGTTTACCTTGTACTGAGGGTGAGTTCATATTTTTTAAATTGATGACTTATATTTGTTTATATGCAATTTTGAATTATTTAATTTATATGTATATTCATGTAGCTGTTATATGCATACTTAATGAGTAATTAACATTTCATATTTAGGTGGGTACAATTTTCAATTAAGTGATACATAAATTAGTGATTAATATGTAAATTCAAATGCAGGGATCTATATTACATACTTGTATGTATAACTTAAAGTTATATGTACATATACAGGTAGTTGTTACTGATCAAGTTATTTCTGTTCGGCTTTATTACAATCATCTAATTACTCTGTTTGCGATTTCGATTTCCGAACCCTTGCACATTACGATGACACCAGTCGGCCACAGGCGTTTGATAAATCATATCTCCTAGAAATGTAAGATGAAAACTAGAATTCAATACATTCACGACTTAGACGTTCTGATATGTTCTTCTCTTACTATTACATGACTATTATTTCGATATTTTTTACTCAGAGGAGAACTTCCCCTTAGGGTTGAATGTTATCCTCATTGAAGAATGAAATGAAAAATTCTTCACTCATTCCAGGCGACAGATGAGGAATTTAGTACCACCCTGGAAGGCCCATGGATGAGGAAGTGGGAGATTGTTCATACAAACCAGCACACGAAACGTGCTGAAATGGAAGATAGCCTCTGGGACGAATGCAAGGCGTGATACGCTGTTTATTTCTATATGTGCATATTGACACATTGTCGTGTCCCAAATGCACCAACATGGTTGATACACAAATGCAATACTTGGGTGTTTTGTAAGACATACATTGTATACATTTCTGTCTACTTAATCCTATTTTGTAATTACAGCAATTAAAATTGTGATAATTGTTTACATTTCATTTTTGGGTACTAACAATGAATACTTTAAATGAATGTAATCAATTATTTTTAGAATATATTATATCCTATGTAAATGACTTTTAACCTCTGTACAACCACTAAACTTACAAATTCAAACTGCATATGTTTGTGAATAAAACACAACATACTGCGTGTTATGTTAGGCTGGCTTCTAGTCCCAAAGATTGTGTAAAGAGTTGTTCTGCTGCATTTCTACGTTTGTGTGTGTACTAATGCAATGTTTTCTGTGATGACTAAAAGATGATATTCGTTATTTCTTGATAAATAACAATTTTCACTAAATGAGATAAATCAATAACTATCACGGCTGTGAAACAGCAGTGAAAAGTATTGAAAGTATTCATCCCTCGTATTGACACATCACCAGGTTTCATCAAAAGACAAGAAATATTATGTTTATTACATTTCAAATTACAATGAGGACTTGCTCGAAGTTACGAGGATGTTTTCTTTCTGTAATTTTTCTTTCTTCATTTTTATAACTGTTTGCTGATTTGTCAGTTGACTGTACAAAATAAAATAAAAGGGTATTGTGATTAACAATAAAACATATCGACTTTGGTTTTCTGTTACCCTGAACATCCTCCACCTACAAGTATCCATTGCTAGAAGTAGTTTTGAGTTGAAATTAATGTTAGCATGAAATGCAGTACAAAAGTGAAGCAGTTGTCCGAATTTCTGGATGATCCACTAGAAAATGTCGATCGATAAATAGAAATGTTTAAACACAAGTCTGTGTCGCTAAAACATTTGGGTGAATGTGTGTGACTACGTGCAGTTTTAAAGGAGTTGTGGGGTTGATATAGGTCACGCATATATAGCAATAATCAGCAGTAATTAAAACAACAACAGCTGTTGTAAACAACTTTGCCATCTATTGCATTATGTATAGGGTTATAACTTTGTTATATCTATATATCCTAGTTTAGTTAATATTTCTACGGCGCTTTTAAACGCAGAGAAAGATAAAAATAGACACATATGCTGAATTATGCATAGTCATACGTGCTGATGTGAAAAGTTCATATGACTCAATGTAACGTTTTGATCTGACACTTACATGGGAAACAAAACACTTTTCTTTCGATATCGACTCTGGTTTGAAATTGAACTTCATGTACATGTGAGCCAGTTTATCTCGCATTAATAATAAATATAATTATGATTTGAAAAAGGTTAAATGACGATCAGTGACACAACCGGCACATCGCCAATAACATCACTTACAAACTTTACTTAAATAAAATTAGTTAACTGGATTGTGTTCATTTTGTTCCATACGATTATTTTACTTTTTCTTTATCCGCAGTTATTTTAAACGTTATCTTCTTTTCTTACCTGTCACTTTCAATTTCTTTTCAATGTTTTTTTATCGTTTTATTTTCAATTTGATTTAATAGGATTTAATCGTGGACTTATGCATCATCGCTTCTTTATCCACATCGATGTAATGGTAAGTAATGGTAAGTAATTGTAAGTAAAATGTTAACATAAGATTTAGGCTGTTTAAAAGAAGCTGTGTGATCTATTTCAACTAAAGATCTTTCCAGACTTAATTGTTCTCAAATCAAAAAGTCTCATGCATAGAGCTTTGTCGAATGCCTACACAAAGTCTATGTAAACTACATCTAATTCTTTGCCATTATCTGAACTCGTGGTCCATTAATTCACGACCTTACGTAAATGAAGCTCTGTTGATCTCCTAGATAAAAAGCCAAATTGTCAGTTGCCAAACAAATGGTTCCCCTCCAAATAAAACACAATTTAACTTCTTAGTGTTATGACTTTCTTCATAGTTGTACAAACAGCGCTTGTAAGACTAGCTGGTCTAGCTGTAGTTTCTAAGTTCCGAATTGCATAATCATTTCTTGAGATGCAGATTACATAATTTCATTTGAGCATTTAAAAAACAAAAATAAAAGTAAACAAAATATGTTATCTTTGTAATCTTTATTTACTTTCATGATCATTTTCTGTCACAAAACAAGTATACACTGGAAAAAGGTACAGGCGAAACACTGTTGATACCTGTACAGTGAAAACCGTACAGGTGTATATATTACTCGGTAACTCCCTTGTTATGTATTGGAACTGCAATGACTAAATATACGTACCATATGGTCAGAAACTAGTCATGGCCAAGCGGATGGTCAACAAAATAAAGGTTGCTTTTAGATAACAAGAATTAGGTCAAATACCGTAAGCTCGCAGGGGCCTCCATTGTTTCCATACTTAGCTGGATGTCACAACCGAGCTAAACCAAGGTGGAAACAACTTGCATCATGAGTGAGTGGAATCCAGAAATATTCAACATCGAAGCGATGCCACCATCGGCACCGCAGCAGAAAATAGGCCAGCTACCAGATGATGTCATCAAGCAGTTTTTCATAGACGTAAGTACACAGTTACGATCGACTTGCATTAGAATGTGGGTCAATGTGTGTGTGTGAGATGATGCCATTACGTAAGAGGTATGGCAGCCTTCATGTGCAAAACACAGATCGTCAACATTAACGCCTGCTCTAGGTGCAATACATTCTGCGTATAAAGAACTATTGAGTGAGACATCGGTATGAATCTTTATAGACAGGGATATTGATAGGAGGTTTCATTACATTGTAAAGATCGTTTGGAGAAACGGTTTGATACTTAAACAAATACCACCAATGGCCATGATGGTGCATCACCTATCGCGAAAGAGAGAGAAAGAGAAAATACGAAACTCGTCTAGAACGGAAACATCTTATTAAAGCTCGATAATACGTCTCCAAAACTAGATATATGTATATGATAATCCAACTTTAACACAAATTAATGACATTGTTAATTAGAATAAGGACGTATTAGGACACCCCAAACATTGATATGGCAATTTTTACTTCTTTCTATGTATAACTCACCCAGGAACATATCAGGACCTCACTCGACCCTATTATGTGTAGTTTTCTGACTAAGTACAATCTGGAAGATTGGACAGACTAACGTCCGGGATAGAACACATTAATGTTATACAAGTTGAAGTGTTATACATCGTTTTGACCCTCGACCCTTCATCTTCAGTTAGAGCTATTAATTGTCATGATGAACAGTTGTTTTGCGATACTACGACGCTTCAATATGATAACCAATGTTTTCGTTTCTGGAAGAATTCCGTACCTTACAATATATGAAGAACATGGGTATTTTTCTTCTCCTTCACGACATATGACAGCCACACTGCAGGTTGTAGCTATAGAAACAAGTGGTTGAAACAGAGATAAATATTCAACGCTTTAAAATAAGTTGACTTTGATGTTTAATGCGATGAATTTTGCATTCATAAGCAGATTTATATGCCTGTAGTTCGCTAGATAACAATCTGTCCTTACGATTACATATATACGGTATATTAGCTATGCTACAAATAACAGGCTAAAATTGAGTTTCTAAGCGCTATAGTTCGTGTGAGAATTAATCTTTATTAGCGGAGTTTAAACGAGTAAATTGGTCACGACTGTGAGATTCTTTGTTATCGCTTGGGTCATTGAACATATTTTAATTACTTGGCTAGAAAAAGGAATATCATTGCCGCCCTTTATCCTTCCTGAATTCGTCACATCATTGCAATGTTCATGGTGATGGCATAATTGTTGATATGACACATTTTCATGACAATTATGTCATGCGTTCTTATGCTGCATAACAGATCAGTATTTAATTTATATACAAGTTATACTATTGACATCATTTTGAATCACGTTTTTTGCAATACAACTGCTGATCCAGCAATGATAAAAGTGTCATCAAAATAAACGAAAATGTTATTATACAGGCCGACTTAATATCTTATATTTATATAATGACTATGTTGTCAATTTATAGTTCTATATTGTAGTTATTTTATAGGAATTATGACTGGTTATCAGTCTTTTTACACAAAATGAGACTAAGTTTTATTTGTTATTATGATCTTTTAGATAGTTTATGTTTGTGTACCTATCCTATGTTTTACATACTACAGTTAGTTCAATAGTATATAACGCAGAACGAGTGTACTCGGCGCAGGACATAGTACTATACACCATGTATGACACGTGTACTTTGTATGTCGTTGTCAGGTGCCTTGCATATCATATGATAAGGACATTGTTTACTTAGATTGGTGCACGGTGTGTAACATGACACTACGTTTTCCTATCGCACAGATTGTTTATGTGTGATATTACTGTGTTAACTTATTGCATTAATACCGTTTAAAATAAGACGTTAACAGTTTGTTGTGCGTGTTAATCATTATCTGATTGGCTATGGATTTATTTTTTAAAATTTGCCTGCAAAGACTGATAATAAAAACTGGAACTACATTTTGTTGTTAAATAATTCGCGCTATGAAACAGGTGTATTGTAACATTTAAAAATAATGAAAATAATATTTCAAAAAAGAAACAAAATTATTATAACTAAAATGAAATGCTCAATATACCTCATAGAATCTCTTTCTTAGAATAATTAAATCTGAGGGTTAACAAGAATAATAACAACTCCGAGCAAAATGCATTATATATATAACTCTCGTAACAAAACATGTGAAATGTCTAAAGAAAAGCAACCCAAAAAGCGAACTTGACGCGTGAATTTATGTTAAAATGTGTAACATTTGTAACAAGTGTTTTGTCTAATAGAAAAAAAGGTTTATTAAGACATATACACTGAGATAATGTGTTGATAAATGTGATTATGTAAAACCGAACTTGGATCATGACGTCTAATGTTTCTTATATAAGTTCACGGAACGTAATTTGCTTCCGTTTGCTATTTAGAACAATACGAATTGTTTAACCTATTTTTTATATTAACATCACTAATAGTGCCCCGACGCGCTTCTAAACACTTTTTTTACATAACAAAATATCAAGATTAACGTTTTTGAATGTCTGTAAAAAGTAACTGTGCGCTCATATCTAGTCTGAAATAACGAATGTTTATTGTAGTTCATTCACATCTTGAAAATTAAAACAATTTATAAAAGCAAAGCTTGCTTTCCCTATTTCAACAAATGGTTACGTCTTCTGTAATTTTTGTATGGTTCATGTTGATTTTCCTTTTGATTTTGAGTTTATCTATTATATTTTCTTTTGTTTTTATATCAACATTGTTCTTTGATTTCGTCCATATATGTTCTACCTCACTCTTCTAAGTTAAAATCACCCAGGACACGACCCTTTTTTTACATTTGCAATTTGCAAGAGCGTTACATATTTCATAATGACGTGATGATTTAACTGTAATTTGAATAAAAAAATGTATTTTTTTTTTATACTTTCCGATATTTATTTCTCTCTTGAAAGTTTTGCTATAGTTATACTTGCCTGCTCCTCTTTCATGTCTGTCTATATGATGTATACTGTATCGCTGGTAATTTGAAGTACGACCCTGCCTACGTGACAAGGAGCACATACCAGCGTTGTAAAACCGGTCTGTCTCTACTATCAAATTGCCAAGTCAGCAAATAGATTTGGCTGCAGTATGGCGGACAAAAGAACGAACACTTCCATCCCGAATGGTTTTACAGGGGAAGCAAATCCGCATTTTTTTAATCTGAAAGCGAAACCTCCCACTTCTCTGGAACGGAAGCTTGGACAACTCTCTGAAGAGATAATCAACAAATACTTTGAAAATGTATGGATTGTACTTTATATCAAGTGTGTTATCTGTTCCGTCGTTTATTACAAGTTGCAATTAAGGTGGTATTTTTTAATTCAATTTTCGCTTACAGGGAATAATAGGTGAACAAAATGTATGTTGTCCTTATCAAAGACAATAGATACGGTAATGAAAACTGCAAATACAATTATGCCATAATGTGGAATGTCTTTATTTAAATATTTGTATCTATTTATATGTGCATCTATTTATTTCACATTCATAATTAAATGGTATTCTTGAAATTATTAAGTACAACACTCTAGATAAAAATAGAATGTTGTTTGCGAGGAACTATATATTTAAATGCTTTAAAAAAAAATATTGTATTTTACATATTTATAACTACATGATAGTACGATGCCTTTGTGAAAATAAAACGAATGGACGATATAACTTGTTAGAAAGGATCTTATTTTCATTCATATGACACAGCGAGGTTTGCTTGGACAAATATGCGTGTAGTGTATGAACACTGAAAAAGAAAATTTTATCAAAAGCAACAGTCATATTAATATAAGTGCTCAAAAGAGTGCGTTGTATTTTATTTACTACTAAGATTTCAACCTTGATTTATATGGCGGATGTCGTTAATAAAGCTTCCTTTTCCGGAACGCCTGGTCTTAGTCCTTTGTACACATTTAACGATCTCCATTTTTTGTTGATATTTTGCCCTAGTCTCGTCGATTTTTAGGTTCAAATTATGGTTTAATCTTAAGAGGCTACATTCTCAATGTTTGTCATGTGAGATTATGGACACAAGACTATTCTCAACGCGTCATAATTTGTGCATATAACTGAGATTAAGAATGTCAGTTCTTTTAATATTGAAACGTTTTAATTTCTACAGGGTTACGTCATTGTGGAAAACTTTTTCAAACCAGAGGAATTGGACCCCTGTAAAGAAGCAATCAATGATATGTTAGATGAAATGGCACTGCAGTTTTTACAGAAAGGAAAGATCAAAGGTACATTTGAATGCTTGTGTTACGAATCACTCTTAATGGTCAAATACTAGTATACTTTTGTCTATAACGCAACATCTGTTTTATCTAAAATTCTTTTAAAGGAAAAAATGACATCTTTAAACCTGAACGTGTTTCAGATTTTGTTGCCCTATCATCTGCATTGACACATTGTACAAGAATATCGTATTCAACGAAACTTGCTCTGTGGTTTTACTTTATGGTCATATTCCTTTCGAATCAGTATTTGATTGTTCTGTTTGAGTTACATTGCATTGTATAAATACGTGTAACACTTACTGAAAGACTTGTATTAAGTATTGTTGTGTTTTATTGGTGTCGTTAACAAACATGAATTAGACACAAAGCAATATTTCTGTTGACAGAACTTTACAAAGAATATGGTTTTTACGAGAGGCTGTCCAAGATTGAGGATGACTTCCCAGGGGCAAACATCGTCCTACATAAGCTGGGAAAACTTCCACAGGTATAGCTCAGCTTCCATTGTCGTGTGTGTTATAAACCTTCCCAACATACCAAACTAGTAATACCATAGTGTCAGAAGTAAGGTTGATATATAGTTCCATGCAAGGTAATAGTACTCGAGATTTATCATCCTGCTTTTATCTGAGGTACTCCTTCACACGAGTTACATTGTGTATATATAAACCAATTTCAAATGATGATAGCAAAATATGGATACTTTGAAATTTAATTTTTACATTTACAAGTATAAAACACTAGAAAAAAATCCATAAACAAATTTGTATTCGATACCACCATATCAGAATTGACGTGAGACGAAATCATCCGCGTTCAAAGTTAACAAATCCCTTTTAGACTGTGATAATTGTTAGGCTAGGACTGATGTAGACACATCCATTGTCAACAAACAGTGAATGACAGGAATATGATACCATACCAAACTGACGCTGAATATACGGACTATAGTAGTATGATAATTACAGGAATCCTTGATTACAATAATGACAAATTTTCTTTGAAAATTAAACTTCTTGTTAGGACTACTGTTTTATCGCCCATTTTTTATTAGGCTTTCAAAGATGTATGGACAAACGAACGCCTACTGAACGTCATTGAACAGCTTATCGGTCCAGAAATTGCTGGCCATCCGGTATGGAACCTTCGAACGAAGACACCCCAGAACGAGGCTACTACTGTGCCGTGGCACCAAGGCAGGTTACCAAACAGTGATATTAATTACGACATAGTCTTAATAGAGATACGTGTATTTACATAATATAAAATATAAATAAGCAGCATATCATATATTAAGGATAAAAGAAAACTGATATTTCTATAGTTACTATTATAGATGTATATTCTTCTATTTCTAGATAGCGCCTATCTGGACAATGACTCTTACAGAGTGTTACAGCCGACAGCCTGGATACCTCTGATAGACGCTACAGCAAAAAACGGATGCATGCAGGTATTGTTAATGTCACAATGATGGAATTTGTATTCGCTGGTGAATGATATGGCAAAAGATTATTTTCACCTGAATTTGTGAATCCTCTGAATGTTATATCGGGTCAAACTACCATCGGATGGACTAGACAAACGTTCTTTAGATTACCCAAAACTACGAAAGTTAGTATTTTATGTTCTTAAATAGTTTTAACGATAGTAATATTTCACATATGATATTGGTTCAAGAGTGCTTTTTTGGTTTCAGGGATAGGAATGGGATATTCCATAAANCATGAGACACCTTTTATGCCACTTCTCTTCTCAACATAAGTTTTGCTAGAATTTAATACAGCTGTATAATGTCACAAAATCGCTTACAAACTACAATTCTTTATTCATAATCATGTAAATTTGTTACAATAGATTGTTGTTGTATGGAAATTAAAATAGGCTGACCATAGAGCATTCATTTTATTTCATAAACAGTGTACACGTTGTTCTTTTATCCACCAGGTGGCGCACCGTGGCCACAAAACCGGTAAGGTTGCTACTCACCAGTGTTGCTATGGAGGGACGTGGTATGTTATGCTGGAGGAAGATGAGATGGCAAAATCGTTAGGTAATTCTTTGTTTGTCATATTTCTAGATTTTTTTTTATTTTTGTTAACTCATGTCATGTTTGCGACTGTATTACAAACCGATGGTCTTTTGTGTGTTTGTATGATTGCTTTGAAAACTACAAAACTGACTTTATATTTCATAAATGTCAATGCTGTTCATACATATTTGATATTTTATCTATGTAATCGTTTTTAAAGATATCGTCATCTATGTCTTAGCTGTGAGTATAATTAAGATAGAAAGACAATATAGCATCACTAAAGAAAGACAAATGAAAAGACAATGTCGGCCAGAACAGACAACAACAGCATTTTAACTGGTTTGTGAAACTTATTAAATATCTGTTTGAAAACGGCTTTTGCAGATGTGAACCTGGAGTCAGATATCAAGACGTGCCCAATTCCATATGGTGGCATGCTGCTGCTGAATAACATGATACCTCATAGAAGGTAATGGGATCAGCTTAATATTTGTTTATTGCTTGAATAAGCAACTTTGTTTTACAATCTACCACGTTCCATGGAACAGAATTTTAACCAATCAAACTGACTGAAAATGTTAAACCATCCCTTATTTCGTTTCAAGGACTACTAGTTGATCGGCAGTGTCAGGAATGTGGACAAGTCACAATAATGTACTGTTCATGATAAATTTGATGCAGAAAGTATATGTAAAGCAATGAAATCAATATAACTGTAAACAGACTTATTTCAGTAGCTGTCATAAATCAGGAGTTGTCGACCTAATGAGAAAACAATTAATTAGGATCACCGCTATATCACAGCTAGATGAAGCTTTAAATCTTGACACGTGTTATTTAAAAGATGACACACCGACATACTTGTTTAAGGACGTTGACAGTTCATATTATCAATTATTAGTAATGTACTTGTAGCTTGCCAAACCTATCGAAACAAATTCGTTGGAGTTTGGATTTGCGCTGGCAGAAGCCATCACTTCCTTTTGGATTTCACAACATGAAAAATGGGGTATTGATGCGAACATCAAAAGACCCTAACTACAAAATCGACTGGAACGAATTCGAGGGTGTTGATCGCCATGATAAACAAAGAGAATATGTGAAGGAGATACTTGAAGTGAGTATTGAAACAACCAAACCTGCATTCTGCAGTCATAATTTGTGAAGAATCAGAGTAGTCGAATTGTTGTCTGCGTTTTCCGTTGTGGGGGCAATGTCGCGACCAAAACATATCTGATGCATTTTGCGTGATTTTGGACTTCCGATTTTTTTCTCTGGTATTTTTTCTGTAACGTTTTACATATGTTTCCCTCCTCCTGAGATTATGGCATTGATGACTCGTTCAGATAACTAAATAAATTAACATTTTCTATAGGATAGGAGAGGGTTATTAAATATCACAAACCTGGACATTTTTGTCACCAGGATCTCATAGGTTAAAAAACAGTGGGTCGCAGTCATAATTCTTCGATCTCGAAAATCATTTCATGAGAATAGGTTACCACATTTAAGCATTTGTTATTGATATATGGCCATATCATGATACTTATGAGATTGAGTTATCGTTCATCCCTTGTAAATATATTTTCAGCCATCGAGTGACCCAGATTTTGACATAACGATCCAAGGGCCCTGGATGAAGAAGTGGGAAATTGTTCACATGAATCAGCATACTGCAAAACTTACAGACGAAACAATGAGTTCCTGGCATGGCCACAAGGCATAGGAAATGTTAGAGACGATTATAAATGTTTCAGGGAATGGTTCAGTACTTCATCAGCTTAACATCGAATGAAATGTTTTATTTAGAAAACGTCTCCAAACGAATGGATATGCTGGCATTTATGTAATCGTGGGTATTTGCAATCAGATCAGTTGTATTTTGATTTTGTTTGCACACTTGACATTTAACACATCTAATATATATTTGAATAATAACTTAATGTGTTCATGAGTTTATGGTGTTATTTGGTTTGGTACAATACGAACAGTGTTAAATATTAATCTGTAACCATGTAGTCATGGTAACATGGATATAATAACGCAAGCTCTGTAATGACAAGGCAAATAGTTATCAATAGATTCTTGTTATAGATTCCTTTCATATAAACGTATTGTATTTATTTTCACTTATCATTATCGATAATTATAGCAGTATAAAATGTATACATATCATTATCTATTCATTCTAGCAACACAGATCACTCAAGTATAAATAGTGATTTTTACTTAAAATAAATATGCAAAATTGTATAAACGATTTGAGTCCTCAAATTGAATCATAATTTGATACTTCTCTCGATGTTTGTCTTTATTTAATATTTAAACCCAAATACACAAAGATAAGCAAGACCATAGATTTTGTTACATAAGGAAACATGTTTACATAATTTATTAAATACATCCTGTCGACAAAGATCATTTAAGTAGAATCAGAAAAGTGGTATTTGCTTAAACAATTATACAACAGTGTATGGGTATTTTTTGTTTTTATGTTGTTTTATTCATAAATTGTTGTTACTTTGTTTTTGGTTAAGTTTGTTAATTCAATGAAGATAATGGAATCACAATTTGAATATTTTTTTCTGTGTTGTGTAGATTTAAGATAATCTTAACAGAAATGCATTAAGCTTGACCACAAAATATATACATACAAAATATATCGATACATTGAAGAAGATATCCTCGTGGTATTTTCCCCGTCGGTTCTGAAAAGAAAATCGATGAAAAAACTTCGTAACAAGTTGCTCTACAGATGTTTATTTCAGTTTATTCATCCTCTGCCAAAAAGACAACACACGACATGTAAATTTATATTCAATCCTAGTGAGAAACATCATCGTCATCCATGACACCAGACGTCACACTGATGAATATTATCAAAAATCGTTGACAAGTTTTTGAAATTAAAATTAACCGTTACTCCTCTACTTTATTTAAGTTCATAAATTTAGGGGTTTTAGGCACATGCCCCTCTGTTTTAACAAACGTTTAGACAAATTTGATATTCACATTAATATTTGAGCTTCACCGATGATCCTTAGATGGAAGAAACAGCTGTATGATGCTATGTAACTTTATTTTGGCAAACTGTTTCTATTACCAGATTTTAAAGGGTTGCAATCACCTGTGTGTTATACGTTCATGTCTGTATCTCTTATTATCGCTCAAGGAACTACTGGTTATCGGGAACAATTATAGGAATATCCCATTTCAGTTTGACTATTGTCGGTAATTGTTATATGTGTAGGTATAGTAATAAACAAAAACGAAAACGAACATTATTTTGTTATTTTGAAAACATAATGACCTGGCGGTATTATTTGGAAGGCACCCGTGGACGGTAATCTAGAACAATCATCGTCATATCATTAAACAAATAAGGAAGTTAGGTATTGACCCAGTAGATTAGACTGTCTTGTCCAAATATACGAACACGGGCTTCATCTTCACCTAGATGGGCAAGGGTTGTAGTGTGCGTTTGTGTGAGAGGCTACGTGAAATTGTTATCTTGTTACGAAGGTGAATAAACGGAACAATATATAGCGGCTTGTGTGTGTTGAGGAAAATATGTGTTAGTGTCATGTTCAAACAATAAATATGTACAAAACTGTTGAATATGGAACATAAAATAACAAATAATTTTCTGTCAAAACTTATCTTAGGGTAAAGGAGCCAAACAAACTAAAATACATTATCTCCACTTTCACTTGTGACGTACTTGTTTGTGTCCTTTTCAGGATAGGTATTCCATGGAAATCACCTATTGCGGTGCATTTTACAGAACTGTTCTTGTTTGAAATTTGAATGTTTGATAATAGAAATAAAGAATAAATTAGAAAAAATACAGGTACGAACTTAGGACATTAACACTGCCAAGCCTATACGTTTTCGCATTTAAAAAATTAACAACTTCAAAATGAGAGTCCAGTTAACGGTCCGCAATGTCTATAGAAACAAAACTGAACATTGACGATACACAAACGTTACACGGAGACTTACTCTTAGCGAGCAAAAAAAATGTGGTTGTTTATATATAAGGGAGACAATTCTGCATCTAACAATTTCTGAGAAGAGCTCCTTCCTTGAGATTTAAGCGGGTGCTGAGGTACTCTTAACTTGAACTGTTTTATGATTATAAAATTAAAAACGATGAAGTCAATGGATACCTCACATAAATACAGACCTGGTCCGTTCAGGTACATATAACCAATGGTCGGTAGGTATGGTCATATCCTTCTCTTAAAGCCATTGATATGAGGTATGTGTACAAGATATACCTTATTGTGTGTTCAGTATTAAGATTTCTATTTTGGTCATGCAACGAGGAAAATGTAAAAGCAAAATTAACATGATTTCGAAAGATAAAACTTATTCGTTCTCGCGAAAAAAGTCCTCTCTGTTAGATACCACATCTACAAGCCAGAGTGAAAAAGGTAAATAGTGGATTCCATATGGACAATGATGTATAAAAGAAATGTATTGAGTATGAACGCATTTATGGTAGTATTTCACACACATTTAATGAGTATATTAATTACTTCGGGTAACAGTGAAAGGAAAGCTCTAGGGCGTCGAAGGCGCCCGGGCGAAGCTCTGTAATTGTAACACATGAGCGCCTAAAGAGTTACTTCAATTGCTAAAAGTTGCCCTTATTATTATTCTTTTCGTCTGGAAGTAGCTGTCCTATGGAGAAACAGGAACCTAATAACCAACGACAAATATGTTTCAACACAAACGCATGGACACTTACCTCTGCATGTACTAAAATTAATCTTTTACGGTTTTCAATAAAATAGAAATATTCTCCTTTGGCGTCTAATACTCGTGAGAATGAGATGCACCATAATCATCTGTTTGTAGTGAAACTAAAGGAAACGGAACTAATGACGTAACAATCAATACTTGCTCACAAGAGAAGATAACTCTGCAATACGCAAAGACGGAATAACGACCATCTCAGTTACATTAATGTATTACAATGTTCTTTTTTTCCTTTTTGTTTTTTAACATTTTCATCGATACATCGTGTTTATCCTTTTGTTATTAATCTTAAAAAAGCATGAAATTTCTCTTCTAAATAGTGCATATACATATCATATTAAATTTCAGCAAATTGCAAACTGCTCAAAATGACTTTATCAAAAAATGGGTAGAACTTGTCCCGGTTTTCCCTTATGTTTATGTCGGTGTTAAAATATCATTAGAACTTGTGCTTTATTGTTATTCCTCGACTTGCCGACTCTAAATAAAGCTCAAACTGTGTACTCAGTCTAAGTAATCTTCATCATATTTATAATGATATTGTTCATGTTCTACCTGAATGCGACATAACAACATATGCATGTCACAAACAAGATAGCGCTTCCCACGACACTAGAGCGAGACATTCTACTTTTTAAAGATGGCGGATTTATCTGTTGTCACACCTTCAATAGAATACGGACTTGTGTCGGATGCACACCCGGAGTTGTTCGACACGCGTGCGATGCCGAAACCAAAGCAGGACCTGAAACCAGGGCAGCTTCCTAGTCCCATTAACCAGCAATTCTTTCATGATGTACGCATGTATTAATACTTATCTAACGATTAACTTTGTACGTCGGCAGGTTACTACTGTATTGGCACTCGTCAGCTTAACACCTTCGTTAGCTTAAATTATGATACAGTTTGAGATATGTTTATTTGGTTTAAAAACAATCCTATATAAATGCATTTTGATATATTGTTTAGTTAATGACACTATAGATGAGCACCTATTTTTTATATACAACTATGTATTATTTTTGTGTGGCTTTGCTGCAAAATATTCGATATCAAATTTAATAATATATTAAAAAGATATTTTGCGAGATTCTACTCCGTATCCCATTCATCATCACTGGTCAAATCGTCGTGTCATTTTTTCCAGCATCAGCATCTGTAAGTTTCAGTTTTCCCGGTATATTATAATATATTTGTCGTTGTTCGCACACACACTGGTCAACGATGCGGTCAATGTAAATCCTGGTTTCGGCTTACGCTAGCCGAGGGGGTTAGCGTTTTTATATATTAGTTATATCATATCATATTTCTATTTTGGTTTTATGTTATGTAAGTGTTCTGTGTCTTTCGGTGTCTCAGAGAAGGAGCAGATTGCTCCGAAAATTTGAAATGAATCCGAATCCTTCAAACAAAGGATCCAGTGTTACAACGGAATTTGCCTTTGATATTACTGATATATTTGTGATTTTTAATTCTCTGTATATAAAGATACATAAATTATATAATATCTATGATCTTTCCAATGTTTGTGTGAATTTTTAACAGGGTTATGTGATTGTGAAGGAGTTTTTTTACCCGTTCGGAACTAGATCCTTGCAGACAAGCCATACAAGACCAGGTAGAAAGGCTCGCTCAAAAACTATTCAAAGCTGGTAAAATCAAAGGTTAGATTATAGCTGTATATCCCGTTCTGATGACTGTAGAAAGAGCTACTCTGTATATATGGAAATAGCCTCATAGGTTATATATAACCATAAAACGTCGCCTTACAGTAAGAACGTGTTTTGCAAAAAATTGAAATAAACACTGTTTACGTTATAAAACCAGTGAGACGCAGAATTGAAAAATAGTCAATCATGTGTTTGTTATATGTGTGTTATTATCCCAATCATGTGTTTGTTATATGTGTGTTATTATATCAATCATGTGTTTGTTGTATGTGTGTTTTTATCTCAATCATGTGTTTGTTATATGTATGTTATTATCTCAATCATGTGTTTGTTGCATGTCTGTTTTTATCTCAATCATGTGTTTGTTATATGTGTGTTATTATCTCAATCATGTGTTTGTTGTATGTGCGTTATTATCTCAATCATGTGTTTGTTATATGCGTGTTATTATCTCATTCATGTGTTTGTTATATGTGTGTTATTATCTCAATCATGTGTTTGTTGCATGTCTGTTTTTATCTCAATCATGTGTTTGTTATATTTGTGTTATTATCTCAATCATGTGTTTGTTGTCTGTGTGTTATTATTCCAATCATGTGTTTGTTGTATGTGTGTTATTATCACAATCATGTGTTTGTTGTATGTGTGTTATTATTCCAATCATGTGTTTGTTATATGTGTGTTATTATCTCAATCATGGGTTTGTTGTATGTGCGTTATTATCTCAATCATGTGTTTGTTATATGCGTGTTATTATCTCAATCATGTGTTTGTTATAGGTGTGTTATTATCTCAATCATGTATTTGTTGTATGTGTGTTATTTTCTCAATCATGTGTTTGTTATATGTGTGTTATTATCTCAATCATATGTTTGTTGTATGTGTGTTATTATCTCAATCATATGTTTGTTATATGTGTGTTATTATCTCAATCCTGTGTTTGTTATATGTGTGTTATTATCTCAATCATATGTTTGTTATATGTGTGTTATTATCTCAATCATGTGTTTGTTGCATGTCTGTTTTTATCTCAATCATGTGTTTGTTATATGTGTGGTATTATCTCAATCATGTGTTTGTTGTATGTGTGTTATTATCTCAATTATGTGTTTGTTATATGTGTGTTATTTTCTCAATCATGTGTTTGTTATATGTGTGTTATTATCTCAATCATATGTTTGTTATATGTGTGTTATTATCTCAATCCTGTGTTTGTTATATGTGTGTTATTATCTCAATCCTGTGTTTGTTATATGTGTGTTATTATCTCAATCATGTGTTTGTTGTATGTGTGTTATTATCTCAATCATGTGTTTGCTATATGTGTGTTATTTTCTCAATCATGTGTTTGTTATATGTGTGTTATTATCTCAATCATGTGTTTGTTGTATGTGTGTTATTATCTCAATCATGTGTTTGTTGTATGTGTGTTATTATTCCAATCATGTGTTTGTTGTATGTGTGTTATTATTTCAATCATGTGGTGTTTTTTTAATGTGTATTTTTATTGAAATTCTACAGTCGGCTGTAGAGCTTTTGATAAAATCATAGCTCTTCATCGAAGTCGTATATATATCACATCTACATTTTAAATAGTTGCTTTCATTGATTAGCAACGATTCAATTGATAACTGTTAATAACCATATTAAATCGTCCAGATAATAGCTTTGTCTTTGCAAAGTGTAATTTAGTTTTGGTAAACTGCAACTATTACCAAATTGTGAAGGTACAATCATCTGTATATGTCTTACGCTTATCTTTAGATATTTGGCACAAACTTTGCACTCTAAACCTTCAAGTGGTGAACTTGATTAAAAATGACTGAATCCCGTCTTTGCGTATTG